ACATGTGTACATACGTACACAAAGACAAGAGAAAAGGAAAATAGAACTCTTAGGTTTACACACTCTGGTCATTTTTACTGTAAAACTAGAAAAGATAAAAATCACAATAAATATATTAATTGTTCAGTGATTGTAAAATACAAAGAAGTGGAAAAAGATCAACGTTACTACATTTTTTCCTTCTAAGTACCTTTATTCCTGCCTCCCACAGTGAGAATCCTTTTATTAGATCTCTTGCAACAGTGGACCAACTCTCTCTCTTGGAGTCCTCTGGACTGAAAGACATTTTTTCAGCCTTACATCAATCCTGAGTTTTCAGACAAAAATGGTCTGGGAGGACTTCTTTTTACAGAATACAGGCCCCTCCTTCTAAGCAGGACTTCATTCAGAGATGGAGATGCAGCTGCCCAGGTGTGAGCTCTGTATGTGTGTGTGTGTGTGTGTGTGTGTGTATGACTGTGAACTTGGTACCTCACAGACATTCTGCCATTAAAGACTGGGGGTGGGCAAGATGAAAGGGCAATAAATAGTGTGGATATGTGATGGGAAATAGGAAGGAGGGAATGACAGGTGATAAAGACCAGAGCAGCCAGATCCTATTTGTGCCAGCACCCCATGGGCAGGCACCCTGGGAAATATGCAGATTATCCCAAAACATCTCAGCATCCTCAAAACATCTTGGAGAGCTCTGGTTGGTTGAAAATAGACTGGATATGTGGGGTGGGATGGGCTGTGGGCAACCCTTTTTTGATACCTTGGTAGGAGAATTCAGAGCTGGCTTGATTTTACTGCAACCAATACCTTTAGTAAAACAACCCTTTGCTTGAACCAAATGGAGTCAAGGGATCAGATTGGAGCAGATCTGATAGTAAGCCGGTTCTGCAGTTGTGGTCAACCTGGAAAGGAAACTACCTCTACTATGGAGGCTGTGCAAACAATGGCATTGGAGGAGACTACAGCTGAATGCATGGTCCCGCACAAAATGAATGAGTTTCCCGTACAAAAACTGGCATAGTTAATCCCCCTTTTTTCCTACAGGCCACCCACAGATCATAATGTCCATCAATGGACATTATGGTCACCACTCCTGTCCATTTTGTTATAGGAAACAGCCTGCCATGCCAGGACATCTGCTTGGTGTGTCCTTGAGATTATCCTTGCATTCTATTCACCAATCTACTTTATCACAAAAGCTTGGGTAATACAGTAATTTGGGTGATAACTGATTTGTTTTCCAAGCAAATGCACTTTACTGAGTACCCTATCAAAAAATTCCCTCCTTGCACATTTTGGCTAAGCTATTTGTGCAGCACGTCTACCAGTTGCATGGTGCTCCAGAGAGAATGATCTCAAATCACAGAATCCAATTCCCTTCCCAGTTTTGGCAGGAGTTCCTAAAGCTTCCTGAAGCCACTCAGGGGCTCAGCTCCTCACATCATCTGGCTATTAATGGGGGTTGTGAATGGACCAATGGCATCTTGGAGCAGTACCTCAGATGTTTTATTAATAACCAACAGGACCATAGGACAGACGTCCTCCCTTTTGCAGAGATCACCTACAAAATTTGGTGCACAGTAGCACCAGGTTCACTCCATTTAAAATGGTTGCAGGACAAGCCCTGAATTACCCCAGGCCACCCCATTAATAGTATTACTGAAAGATTGGGTTGTGCAGTTACAGAACACCTGGTCAGTGGTGATAAAAACTTTGGATGAAGCTAAGGAAGCATACAAAAAACAGGCCAGTAAAAATTGCATTAAGCCAAAGGACTTTAGGGTAGGAGACAAAATCTATTTATCTACCAAATTCTTATAATCTAGAAAACTGTCCCAAAAAATGGGGCTGAAATGCGTTGTATCTTTCTCTATTAAAAGGATTATTAACCCAGTGACAGTAGAACTTGAGCTGCCAAAAATGCTCAGACCCCTATACCCGGTATTTCATTATGGCCTATTGAAACCAGAAATCACATCTTCTTTGCATTCTGAACCGCAAACCATTATAATTGAGCAGAACTTTAAAGTAAAAGACATTTTGGACTCTTGTATACATCAGGGAAAAAACCCACTACGTGATATCCTGGAAAGACTTTTCCCCCTCAGAAACATACTCAGAAACTGAATATGTTGACCAGTGGTGGTATTCAAAAAATTACGGGTTCTGTAGCTTGGCTTGATGGGCGTGGCTTGGTGGGTGTGGCAGGGGAAGGATACTGTAAAATCCCCATTCCCTCCCCACCAGGGAGTGAAATTCAACCACCTCACAACACCTCACGGGAGATGGTAGGGACGATTGGGTTTGGTTCTCCAAACCAAACAATCTCCCCTGGTTGGCCATGCCCATGCCCACCCGGTCAGACCCATGTTGGCAATAGGGCTAATACTGGCAGCAGGTAGACTGATGCATGCAGGGAGGGAGAGTAGTGCACAGGAGATCGCAGCATCGGAGCTCTTCCCAGGTGTTCCCTGGCCTGCAAGGGGAGGGCACGATCTCCTCCTCAGGAGTCACAAAGCACTCACTGCTCCTCTGCCACCTGCCAAGCCTCCTCTCCACTGAGCTTCTCTTTCTCCTCGCCAGAAGAGTTTGCATGCCCAGCAGGAAGGAGGAGACTTGACAGGTGCCAGAAGGGCAGCAAGCACTTTGTGGCCTGCGAGGGAAGCCCGGCTGGTGGTTTCCGCAGCAACCAGTGAGAGCCAGCCCATTGGGTCCACTTGCACCTACTTGGCACGGTTGATTCAACTGCTGGGAACTCGGGCAATGGAGAAGGTGCCGGAGGGACCCCTGCCCATTGTGACTTTCTTCCAAACCCATGACTACCAAGTGGTGGTGCTGTACAGTGAGGAGCGGGCAGGGGGGAGAGATGGGGGGGGAGGCACCACTTCTCCTTGCCCCTTCCCCTCTCTGGTCAATTGCTGCTTAGTGCAAACCCTTTGCTTCCCCCCCAAAAAAGTGTCAGAGAGAGAGAGAGAGAGAAAGGGAGAAAGACAGAGAGATGAGAGAGAAAGAGAGGAAGACAGACAGAAAGGAGAGAGAGAGAAATGAGAGAGGAGAGAGAGGAAAGAGAGAGAGATGAGAAAGTGATGTCGACTTGGCATGCCCACCCACCCAGTCGCATGACCACCAAGCCACACCCACCAAGCCATGCTCACAGAGCTGGTAGGAAAAAAATTGAATTTCACCCTTGCTCCCCACTCCACTAACCTGTTTTCCAGCTCTGTTCTCCTGTGCAGAGCAACAAAAGAAGACCCAGCCAATCAGCTGGGACTCAGGAGGCAGAGAATAGATGGGTGTGGGGCCAACCAGAGGTGGTATTTACCAGTTCTCTGAACAATTCAAAATTTCTGCTACTGGTTCTCCAGAACCTGTCAGAACAGAATACCACTTCTCATTTCAACTCCCAACAAATTAAAGCCCTCAAACTGCTTTAAAAATTCCATGACTGATACCCAGATAAGCCCCATTGAACTGTACTAGCCCAGAGTCCGCAGTGACAACAGCAAGTGTTTCTGGGGACAGATGGCAAATTGGTCTGGTCAGTACATGAGTTTTTATATATTTTGGGGGTTTTGTAATTGAGATGTTTGTCTCTGTGTGTCCTTTATTTTTTAATTGTGTTGCAAGATTTCTATTATGGTTTGCAAGATCATGATCAGCCCTAAAGGTAAAGGGGAAATGCAAATCATAGGTGTTTTTCTCCCTGATCCTGTCCATCTAATCTTGTCAGTCTTTTGCTTCCCTTATAGCCTTCATAAAATAAGATCCCTTTAACTATTTTTCAGATATTCACCAAAGACACACACACACACACACACACACACACACACACACACAGAGAGAGAGAGAGAGAGAGAGAGAGAGAGAGAGAGAGAGAGAGAGAGAGAG